TGCTTGTGGGTCTTTGTTCATGCCATTTGCTTCAACCCTTTCTCTCTGCTTGTGAAAATCCTACATTAAGAGTGTGATGAAAGGTGCAGGGTTTGTCACCTACCAGGGATGGAGAATAGAAATAAAAGAAGGTACATGCTCTAGAGTCAGCAGTTTGAATTTAAAACTTCAGTCTATACATTTATAGCTGGGTGATCTTGGTCATTGGTCTCCTTATCTGCAAAATGGGGATACTTATCATATGGGGGGTGTCAAATAAGATATAGCCTACAAAGCACAATGTATTCAGCGCTCCAGAAAAGCTGGCCTTATCTGCATTTATTGCTTTCCTGCTTGGGAAGTCATTCCTGATGATGTGAACATGGACCTCTTTTATCTCTAACCCTCTTATTAAATATTAACTTGTTTGGTGCTTAACCCACTGGCTATTTCTCACAGATATTCTCAGACTGGAGCTCTTTTTAGATTAATCTGTATCCTTAGACTTTCCATTTCTGTTTAGAATAGTTTTTATTCTAAACTCAACGGGCCAATTGTTTGTGGCTCTATCGGGAAAATGATTCTGCACTGAGCACCATTTAGATTGTCTTACTGAGACAAGGCTAGGTGGAGCTCAGTCTTCTGCGACAGGGACACAGAAAGTTCTCCATAAATGAATCCATCCTTTCAGAAAACACATATTTCCTTAAGTAGAATGAAAAAGATCTTAGACTCTACGTTGGTTTAACTCTAGTTTCTACTTTAATGTGAACCTGTAATATTGCCACATCTCCAATTGTTACAAAATTGCATCTGGCTAGTTTTACAACACTTCTCTCCATTTTGCTGCTTTTATGGCTTTTAAAAAACATTTCACTGTTTTAAGTTCAGCATAAATGTTTTACTGTTTTCCCAGTTATCTTAATATCCAGGGCCGGACAGTCTTTCTGTTTTATCTGTCTCCTTGAATGTAATACTGTTTGTTCTGCTGATTCTCTCTCTCTCTTTTTTTTTCTTCTAAGAAATGCTTTCTTCTGAACTTTTCTTGAGTACTTAAGGAAAGCCACGAAGACAGGGTTGGCAGGATAACAGATGTTTCCCCCTATTTATTGCTCCTGAAGTTTGTTCCCTGCTTTAAATCTCTAAAATTAGGCACACAGGATCTTTGGGAGAAATGTGTGAGTAAAGAGAGACGGGGTGAAGCAGGCAGAATTTCAAATTTTGATTTATTCTTTCTTGGAAGATGATTTATAAATACAAACATTATGGTTATATATGTTTAAATATATGATGCCTTATGTTTATCTTGAAACACACACATACATGGTGCTTAAAAAAATAAACTTTTGGAGCCCATAATTACATAAATAATAAGATGTTACCTGTCATCTACCTCCTCTTCCTGAACCTATCATGCTGCTTGTAAATGTGGAGAACTTTGTATTTTTAGGAGATATGTGTCAACGCTGCCACAGAAAATTGTGCTAGTAAGACACAGCAGTACTTACTAGTCACACAATGTGCTATATATAAAAGTTTTTAACATTTTATAATTTACAGAGTCCTTTTCACAGATATCTTATTTCATTAATCCAGAGAAGTATTATGATTTTATAGAGAAGGAGAAGGTAACTGACGTAAGGTCACATAACCAGTAAGTACACTATATCACAAACCTGTGATTTTTGAATCTAAAACCCAGTCTTTTTACTATGTTATGCTGAAATCGAGAGCAAAATGGTCTATGCACAGTGATCCCCACATGTTAGAAAGCACCAATAGTTAGGTTTTGACCAGAGAAATCCAATTAAACAAACTGGCTAGTCTAAACTTGGAGTTAAAGATTTTTTTCTGATTACACTTAGTCAACATCTTTTTTTTTTTTTTTTTGAGACGAAGTCTTGCTCCGTTGCCCAGGCTGGAGTGCAGTGGCGCGATATCGGCTCACTGCAAGCTCCGCCTCCCGGGTTCATGCCATTC